AAGCATAAGAAAGGGAAGAACAGCAAAGGCGACAATCGGATCTTGGTGCCCTGCAGCGCAGCAGAAGAACTGGTCTTTGGACCGAACCGAACGTCAATGGAGGGAGATATTGAAGAACATCACAGCGACGAGGAGGACGCGGATGGAAGCGAACAAAGGCAAGCGCAAGCGCCATCGGAGCCGCGATCATCAGAAGATATGGATCTCTCAGGCAACATCAAAGACGAGAATCGCATCGACGGCGACGTTCTCGCCCGCATGTCAGTCCGCAGCGGAACTCGCATCCGCCCACCTCAATCCGTCTCCGAAGTCAACGGCAGCGTCGGCGGCGAAAAAGGCCGAGCAGAACGAATCCACGAAACAGATGCGATGCTCGAGAAGCGAAGACAGGGACAGAAACGCGCGAAGGAACGGGAAATGACAAAGTGCGCTGCCCGACGCGGTGTTATTTTTGGGTTCTCTGTCAGCGACGAAGGCGAGAAGCGTCTCTGTGAGGCAGTGATGGCGGGAAAAATCGTGGAACCGAGCTTTGCAAAGGGGGACTGGGCGATAAGATGGAGAGAATGAGATGGCTCGGACTGTGGGCTCATGTATCAGATATGGTTCGGGCCGACAGGGAGTCAATGAAGATGCTGATTGTGTCTGATTGACGATGATCATGACGCGGTTGCGATAGGGATCGACGCCCTTATCACGGTCCAAGCGTTAATGACAAGACGCTCTAGAGCAAACAGGGAAAGGATACTGACCATTTGCAACACCGGTTCATTGATTCACCAACTAATCTGCTGAGTAACGAATATGAGTGGTTTTACTGGTAGATCAAGCATCGTCTTAACTTCATTTTCGAGACGAGTTTCTCGATGCAGACGTGGAAAATGCCAAGCAACACTTACGACATGGTCCACCACGGACGAGGGGAAGTGGAATTGGAAGTGTCTCCATCGTTATCTTTCTATGGGTCTGGGGTTCTACTCCGCTGGAATCTGTCATCTGTGAGCTTGCTCCGCTGGAATCTATCATGTGCAAGTGACCTCGCCTCGCATGCTTTACCATTTTCAATACATTGGAGAAACTATCATGTCATAAATATTCCAGAAACTAGGAAGATCATCTTTTGGTCAAATTTGACAGGACGATAAACGAGAGTCTAGAATCATTTTTTATCTTCTTGGTCCAGGGGAAGTGGGACGATAATCCAGGTTCCCCAATCTCATGCTGCAGGGTTCAGCTTTCAGCGCTCCAAGCGATACAAAGGTTGGTGCTACACAACCCAATCTACGGAGTCAACTTGGCATGCTCAGCTCGAAGCGACTGCAACGTTGTTATGCAAGGTCAATCATTAGCTAGATCCCTACAGGGCTGGAATGCAACCCAGAGTCTCAATAGTCGTGAGCAGCGTAGTTCATAGTGCCATACCGCGGAGAGAGCGAGAGCGATGGCGTGCGTTAGCCGGAAATAAATCATGACATTACAACAGAAAACGGTCAAGATCACAAAAAAGATAAGACAGAGGCTGTTGGCCAATGCCTGTCCGGGGTACGCACTAACTCCAGAAGCAGTAGGTGGTAAAGCCCAGGGATCAGCCACTGGCCCCAGCGTGCTAAATATTGATGCACTACAAGCAGACGTGGCGCCACGATGGATGATAGGGCGTGGTGCAGTGATGGTGATAGGTGAGATGCTGTTTCAGCGTGTCGGATTAAATTTCACAGAGTTTCTGCTAGAACAACCGAAAAATCGGGACCGAGCTTACGGGCCGGGTTGGTAGAGATGCCCCTGTACATCACTGGCCTAGCAGTGTCGAAGCTGAGGCCATCTTGTTCTCCAAGGGCGGGTTGAGTGATTTTCCTCTCCAGAGCTTCCTCTTCTAGAATAATCCTCGTATGAGCAATCAACGGCGTCGTTATCCCACCTGCTGAAATGGTCAGTGGGACGCTGATTATGAAGCTGTTGATCAATGCGACAGCTATCGACGCCATTTTTCTGGTTCTGGAAGGTCTGCAGTGAATTCATCAACCAGTCATGTTCTAAAGGGCCGAGTATCCGACAAGCAATCATCAACTCCCATTCGTTTGCCAGTCTGCTCAGTTAGCCCAGCTTAATCAACGTCACGTCATTGATGATCGTCAAGGGGAATGTTCCCTAAACAGACAAAATCACTCAGGGATCCAGAGATGATCAGCCCTGCCAAAATCTCCCCCGGACGATTTCCGCCGGTCCACTGTACTGTAGCTAACGCTAGACTTGGTCCAGTCACACAATGGCACTCCGGTTAGCATACCCGCCGAGAAAGCTGATGGTGTAGCCAACGAGTCAGTTGTTCTGGAAGCCAAGTCCAGTCCTCTTTTACCCCAGAGCCTCAGCCAACGCCTTTCTCTCCCCGGATTAGACCCATCCAGATAAGCGTCAAGGATTCTCACCAGCCAAGGCACCATGTGGAAAGGGACATCCTTCAAATGCAGATCACTCCCACGGACATCCGTGCCTGGCGTGTGTGTGTACTCCTCCTGCACCTTGCGTTACTTTTCTTAACTTAACTAAAACAAAAGTTCGTCCAGAGTTCTTTTTTAGTTTTGACAAGCCTGCGGGAGCGTAGGATCATAGCCCGTCATGAGCCTCAAGTCGGATATCATCAGTGCCATGGTCATCACGTGGGTGTCGGCCTTGCTGGCGCTGATTGCGCGTGTCTTTGCGAGGCGAATGACAAAGGTTCCCTGGTGGTATGATGACTACCTGTGTGTCGGTGCCTTTGTAAGTCTTATCTGTGAAGCCTTTGGAGATGTTGCTTACGTGTTTGTAGGTTGTTGGCATTGGATACAATGTTGTGATGATATACTGTAAGTGCCCTTTGCTCTGATGATGTGACTAGAGGCTGATTGATGTAGGGACCTTGACATGGTACCTTGGCACAACTATTCCCGACTCCGTCAGCAATGAACGATACGAAGAGATCAACCTCCACGCACGACTGATGCAGTTCCTCATCTCCCTCACCTATTCATACTCGATCGGCCTTTCAAAGCTGTCTATTCTTCTCTTCTACTGGCGCATCTTCAAGCAATCGGCGATTCGAATCCCGATCCAGGTTATGCTTGGCATCAGCGGCGCTTGGCTCATCCTCCGTACATTCATGGTCATCTTCCATTGCATACCTGTTCAAGCCTATTGGGACAAGTCGATTGAGAACGCTGTCTGCAAGATCAACGACTCGCAATTCTTCTTCGCGACATGCCTTACTCACTTTATTCTGGATGTTGTGATCCTGGCGCTGCCGGTTATTGAAGTGTTTAAGTTGCGACTTCGTCTGGGACAAAAGATTGCCATCACTGCGCTGTTTGCCCTTGGTTTCATGTAAGTCTTTTGTCACTACGTTACAGTATCATACTAACAAACAAAGTGTTTGTCTTGCATCTGTCTTCGTCATCGTCACAGCCCTCCAATACGATCCTGCATCAAGACAAATGCCCCGCGACGTCGCCACAAACGACATGTGGGGAGGTGTCGAGATCAACGTGGCCATCGTCTCCGGATGCTTCCCTCTCCTCCGCCCCATCTTTACCAAGATTCTTCCCAAGAGATTCCTCAGCTCTGCTGGAAGCAGTCATCCCATCAGCCGCACCACTCACGGCATTCGTCTCACTACCATCAACCGTACCAACAAGGACAAAGAAGAAGACGAGACAAGCTCAACTCATCAACTTGCCGATCCAGAACAAGGGATTCCTAGAGAGTTTGAGATTATCGATGGAAAAGAGGGACCTCGGACTTTCATCTCAAGTCGAACTACTGAGTCGCTCCATTCACAGGAGCAGGATATGGCGGGGATTTATGTGCGGAACGACGTCGTTCAGGAGGTTGAGGCGAATCATACGTACGCGATGAAGAGATGATGATCGCCTCTTATTAATACTGTTTCTTAATTATTATCCCCATATACGTGTACGTTTAGATTTGCAAAAATGTCATTTCACATACAGCTCTGACCAGGACGTTTGAGATTTACCAGAAGTATTGTGCATCCGGATATAAGGCATTTCCGACTTTCGCCAGTAAGTCATAAAATGAGTGACCGGCAGTAAACTGAGCCTTTCGTGTTCATACTATTATGATGCGCTTTCTATCAGGCGAATCCCATGTCAAATATGTCCACAACCATACCGTAGTCTAAGTTATGCATACAATCTTCTGCATTATGGAACAAGTTTAGATTCCCTTTTCAGACGAATCTTTTGGATGGATTGATGTTTCTGCTCATGCTTTGGAATTTACTCATTTTGGCCGACATCAAGTTTTCCATCTCGCCTGGCAATCGTAGTTGGTGGTTGAACATTTCATTTTTGGTCTGCCCTAACTCCGAACCTTCTCTTAGTCTCTCAACTGCATGGAAAGACCTGATCTAGATTGAGTAAAGGAGAAGGCAAGCTTAGCAGCTGTCTCGCTTACCGCTGATCTTGTACTTGCCCTTCCAAAGTTATCGCTGCCCTTCCACTTTGGCGTTATTTGAGTCTCCTGTCGAGATGATGAGACAGAACTTCTCCTCTCCTTCAAACACACATGGCCAGCATTCAAAATTGAAGACCTTCTATTTTTCTTCAGGCATAGCTTTTGCCAGAAACGGTTAAGTAAGAACGTACTTCGTCACGCCATGTCGTATGTCGTTGCTTTCGTCAGCACCCCCTCACGCCTCTTCGACAGGCTCTTCGCGCTTCATGAGGCAAATGATTTGTGGATGCACTAAATTCGCCCTCATGACGCGATATTCAACGAGCTGATATGAATGCCTTTGGATGAATTGCCACCTACTATACCCATCCAAGATACTTCGCCAGATTAAAACACTGCGCCGCCATAAAATGCCACGAGTACCTGCAATAGCGAATACGGCCCTTTCTACACTTGTAGCGAGTATGGATATGGAATTACTAGGAGTATTAAATATACTAGAGATTCAAGTAAAAAGGGAACCTAACTCATATATCCTGAATAGTATAGGGTGCTTAAAACAAAGCAATGAACACAGCAAGGAAAGCCAGCGTATCCATCACTTGCTTACTAGCACCACTGACAGTGATAGTGCTAGGGTAAGCACTCTCGGAGCCGGGGGCACTGGAACCACCATTGGAGCTTGAGCTTGAGCCAGAGCTGGAACCTCCAGAGCCTCCGTGGGAGCCGCCGTTAGAACCACCATTGGAGCCTGAGCCTGAGCCGGAGCTGGAGCCTCCGGAACCACCAGAGCCGCCCGAGCCACCAGAGCCGCCAGAACCGCCAGAGCCTCCGTTTGAGCCACCGTTAGAGCCTCCATGGGGACTGGTCGAGTTGGAGCTCCAGCTGACACCATGGGGAGGTATGCCCTGGTTGTTGGTAGGGCAGTTGCCTCCAGAGCAAGTAGGAACTTGATTGTTGCACTTATCTGGTGTACCCCATGAGTTCTGCCAAGGAAGATATTGAATGCCCTGAGAACAGGTAGCACAATCACAAGCAACAAAGAAGGAGTCGTAGTTGTACCAGTCGTTACACTGCTGAGGCTTATACACCTGAAGGTTGGCACAGTTGCCTCCAGAGCAATACTGGGGAACGTATTTGTGACCACCGGGGCAAGGCACAGAAATAAAGACCCACTGACCATCACAGTCGCTGCCGTTGATCTCAACGAAGATGTAGACAGTAGAAGAGCCGGGGAAGCATTGACCATTGACGCAGACCAGAGCAGTAGTGATAACCTCAACAGCTGTGGTGGAAGCTCCAGTGACGGTAGTGGTAAATGTAGTAACGACAGTCTGCTCCTCAGTCACTGTTTGAGTGAGAGAATCGGTGACTACTAAATCCTGAGGAGCAGCATATACTGTGAGGAGTCGGTTGCTGGGGACGTTCTGACGAGCAAGAAGTCTCCTGGCGGAAGAGTCACCACCGCAGAACTGGCTGTCATCTCCAGGGCACTCAATGTCGCACTCGTCAAGGTTGACCCGGCTAGCATCGTCGCCGAACTCATTACCGCAGTAGCAGGTGGTATCATAGACGCCAAAGTAAGCGCGTCCAGCACACAGCCCGGCGCAGACGTCAAGATCCATGCGCTCGCTGGTCTCGACAGAAGTGAAGGTAGGGAAGCCAGCAGTAGAGCCAACGCATCCGAAGAGAGTGAAGTCGATGATACTGCCGGGAAAGCCTGGAACAGAGGTGGCAGTAGAAGTAGAGGCGGCGCCGGTAATAGTTGTAGGGAAGATGGTCTCACCATTGGAGTTGGTGGTAGCGACCTCAGAGTTGGTGGAAACAGTCTCTGTGGGGAAAACTGTCTCACCTTCAGAATTGGTGGTGAAGCCAGCAGCACCAGAAGATGCAGCGTCAGTAGGTTCAGCGAGGGTGACTGTCTCGCCCTCAGAGTTGGTGGTGAAGAAAGCTCCTGTGGTCTCGATGGCACTCTCAGTTGTGGCGGTACCAGTTTCCACAGAATTACCGGTTGCGATGACTATCGAAGAGATAGGAGTTGAGGTTTTGTCGGGCGCTTCTACAACGCTGACCCCTTTGAGGATAACAGGGATAAACGTGCCACCACAACCCTGTTCGAATGTGATCTTATAATCAGATTTCAGGGGAAATGGATTAGTAGAAAGGTCAAGAGAGCCTGTTCCGGTTATTGGTTGCTGAAGTACAACCTCGCCATCGACGAGGACTCGATAAACACAAGGCACGTCCCGCTTGCTGTTGCCGCTGCCGTCGTTGCCGCTGTTAATTAGTGCAGTACATTGGTCAAAGCCAAAACAAGGCAAGTAGTTACTGCAAGTCAGAACAAGCGGACCGTATCGAATCAAAGAAGGTACTGTGAATTTGACATAGGTAATGGAGATGTTTGGTGGCGTAAAGGGAAGGGCTCTAATGAAATGGCGACGGTCAAGCGAAGAACCATCATAGGGTTCGGGAGCCATGAGACTATATCCAAATAGCTAATGTCAGGAGGGTTACAACATCGCGACAGAATGTGAAACTGACATGCTGTCACCATCAGGTGGTGGGTAAAAAGAAGCACCCTGGCCCAAGACGAAGTCTTTGAGATTTAGCTCAACGGACGCTACGCTAGTTGGAGCAGCGCTCGTGGTGGTTGCCTCGACGGAAGAAGTAGTCTCAAAAGCAGAGGTGCTGGAGTTGGTGAATCTCTTGAAATGGTGGATTTGCTGGAACTGACCCAGGACACCCGAGGCGCAAGCCACGAGGAGGCCAGACGAAAGACGCATGATGAAAGAGTGACTAGAACGAATAGAGAGTGTGATGGAGAGCTAGGATAGAAGCTGCGGGACGAAAGTTGGAAATCCTCCGGACTTTAAAGTACTATTACAAACACGTTGCCTATCCAAAGGGGAAATTGCAGCAACTGGTAGGCATACAGGGCCGTGCTTTAACACATTTTATATATGTGTATAATTTCTTCTGCGTCAGGCTGAGAGCATGAGAGCGCTTAAACCCCTCATTCCAAGTTCGTATCGATGATTGTTTGGAATGCAGTTTGCCAATAGTCGGCACCAAATTCCGGCCTGGTGATTAACCTGGATCAGGGATTGTTCGTGGGGACTGCAAGAGTGCAAGGAAACAATCACATCACCCCTGCATTACCCTTCCTTGGTATCTGGTCTAGACTCCACTACATCAAATCCGGTAGCTTAAGAGCCGTTCAGCCGTTGTAGATTCTTGTGAAACCTTAAATGCTTCAGCCGTTAGAAGTTAGAAGAGGGATTTATACCGGGTTTCCGTGTCTTAGATTGGTGATCGATGGAGATGGTTACAGACGTTAGCGCATCACCCCACCAATGGTCAATTGGACTGTTGGAAACCCAGGGCTTTAGGCACTTCTCTATTCTATGAGACAGCAGTGGCGAGTCTTGCCATCGCTGCGGGGATAGTTGCTGTAGGTGCATAAGAAACAGTCGTTTCTTGATGTTCAATTATAGGAAGGCCCTCGGCCCGTGGGTGGCGTTTCTTGAAGAATGCCCAGCATTCCGCTCACAGCGTTTAACGGCCGACTTATCCATTGGCCCCCCCCTACAGGTTCATGGACCAATCGCCTCAACTAACCTCATATCTACCTTTAACGGGCTTATAAGAGCAAAAGGCTATCTAGGGGGTGAAAAACTACGGCGGACGGAAGATCAGCGATTTTTGGTGTAAGTCGTTCCGCTGTTTTCCCTCACCCTGAGGGGCTACAAATAACTTAGAATTATAACTTCAAGTATGCCCTCAACTGGCCTCTTCGCAACATGGAGCAAGGAATGACGCAATGGTTCCCATAGACGCATGGTGCAGTTGCGCAGAGCTTAGTTCAAGCGCGAGAGCTTAGGGCTAAAAAGGTTAATGTGATGTTGTGACAAAAGACCAAGAAGAGGGGTTATGAGGCAACAGGAAGCAGTGGAATTATCATAGGGCCGAAGCCGGGGATCGATAGACTGGTCTGTGACACATGCCCAGCCAATCAGTGAATGATTTCAGCTGCTAACAAATCGCGAGAACACAATCATTAACCCTGAAGCTGCATTTGGTCGTTAATCACAGATCTCCATATACCTGGGAATTAAATCACTGACAATGATTCCCTATATGACGTCCTCAGGCCCGGTCACTGGACTCAAGCCTGGCACGCGTTCCGCAACTACAAGCCGAAAATGTCAGATATCCGCACACGCATACCTTGTAGAGAGATCACCTCTCTTAGTAAGCTCTACGACGTGCTGACGAGTGAATACGGAAACATGCACTATAAGTTGGAGACAGAAAAGAACGACCATGGTGAGTTGTTCTGGGTGGTTGGTGTCTCGTGTCATTTTGCGCGTGATGTGCGAGAACTTTTGATCACGAAGGGAGTTCTTCGACAGCCTGCGAGACCACGGGGGTTTACGGCAGTAAATGGACCAAAGACTCATGGAGATTCATTGACTGACGTGATTGATCTCACTGGGGATGATTCGGATGAGGAGACTCCCCCGGCTCATGAGAGTACAACCCCAGTAAAAACAAGAGATCTGCCTCCCCGATCACGCCAACGTCTTCCTGACACGGAAAAAACGCCAAACTGCATTACCAAATCATTACAGACCAATAAAACACAACAGAGCATTGGCACACGGATCGCAGAACAACATGGCCGAGCTGAACAAGGACCAATCGCAACATGCAACAGCGCAGTCGGCCAAGAAGACCGTTCAACAGGGAGGATCCCAATATCAATGCTGCTTGGGGAGCCTCACACTTGAGCTTAATTATGTCTGGAGATCGGGTAGGCTACCAAAGTATTTACGGAAAATGTGACCTCGCAAGCGGACGAAATTGGAGGTTTGGGGATTCAGTGTTTGCCGTTGGCCACCTTGGGCACAGGGATGTTTGCAATCGCGAATTTCTTGTGTAATATGGAATGGGATAGAAAGAACCTATAGAGCAATTGATACCCTTCTGTTATCGATACCACATTTGAACCGGCAGCTCTTCGGCTCGAGAGGTTAAGCAAAACTTTGCGTGATGCGGCTGACAATTAAGTAGAGTAACCATAGCGAAGGTGGCTGTTACAAAAATAGCACCCATGCGCCACTAAGTATGGGCTTTTGGGCTCTCAAGGCGTTCTTTGGTAGTATTCTGTGCCTCATGAATGAGACTAATGCCTCAGCTGAATGCGTGGACCGGTCTGGACTCTGCCCGTGAGGAGTCATATTTAACGGTGATCAGTCCCATGAAATGAGCGAAGCTTGGCGATTCTGTGAATAAATTGAGAAAGTGCCTGTGAATAGCATCATAAAGAGTTGTTGGAGCGCTTTTTGAGGATTGTGATATCGAGATGGCGAGTGGTCCGCCCTACAACGGTTACCAGGTGCCGCCTGGCCCGGGAATGCCTAACCAGGCTGCCCCACCACCAACGCAGCAGTACTCTCAATCCCCTCACCTTCAACAATACTCTTCACCTCCGCCTCATCAATATGTTCCCGGCCAGCAACCGACTTATCAATCGCCTCATCCAGGCAACGCGCAGCAGGCTTACCAAACCTCGCAGCCGCCTCCTGCCCAATATGCGCAGTCATCACAAGGCGTACCTCAGCAGTATGCGCCAGCACAGCAGCACAACTACCAGTCCCCTCCTCTGGCAGGCTACCACCAAGTAAACCAGCTCGTGCAATCACCCCAGGTCCCGTATACCCAACCGCCGCAAGGTCAATATCCTCAGCAGCAGGTGCCAGGCCAGCAGGCCAGCTATCAAGCGCCGACGTACGGTATTGCAGCCCCACCAACACCTGCGCAGCACCAACAGCAGTACCAGCAACAAGCCGCTCAATTCGCGACTCGGCCCTCCGCTCAAACCCAGCTACAATCAACCGCTCAATCTCTTTTCAAGTCTGGAAAAGGTATTCTGGGAAATCTCGCTAGCAACATCAAGTCAAAGTACCCCGCTTCCTCACCTTCCGGTGCCTCCGCAAGTTCTGGGACTTCGTATACTGGTGAAGCACCAAAGCCGACGTACAATCCAGCACAGCATTCTACGGAAACACCCTTGAGCCCGGCAAACTTATTCCCGCAAGGCTATGGGCAAAATCAGCCTCAGCAGGCGTATTCCAATCAGGCGCCGCCGACACTGCACCAGACTGTCCCGCCCGCTGCTCCAGGCTACCCTCCGACTCAGTACCAAGCAGCGCAAGCGACATCCCCAGGTCAGCAACCCTGCGCGCCTGGTCAACCGCCTCACCTGAGCTGGCAAGAGCGTTTAGAGGCTGGTCAGCACCCAAGTCTGGAGTTTCAGCAATCGCACGCGAACGCTCACGCAGGTGTACAGGGCACCGTACCTCAGCCGCCGGTTCAATCACCACCAGGTGCTTCGCCATATCCGCAGCCCGTTATGCACCATCAGCAGCCGAGTCCGTACCATCCTACACCTGCGCCGCCCGTCCATCAATCTGTTCCACAAGGAGCGGGCTCTGCTGCCTCACCTGGGTACGGGCAGAACCCCCCTCAAGCGCTTTCGCCACATCAACAGCACCAGAGTGCTCCTCCTCAGCTTCAACAACAGGCATCATGGCCACAACAGGGCGGCATTAGTGCCCCATATAACCCGACACTGTCATTGCCTCCGCCTCCGCCACAGACAGCTCCCCAGTCCGGTCCCCCAGTTGTTCCTCCCAACCATGGCTCTCCTGCTCTACTGCAACAGCCACAGTATCACCAGGAATCTGGTACGACCAGCCATCAAGACCCAACAGCGACCCAACAAGCTGGTCAATCATCGCCGTATCAAGCTACCCCAGCAGGTGGTACGCACAATACGCAACAGGTCTCCCCGCCCCAGCAGCTGTATCAGAGTTCACGTCCCCAAGGATACCCGCAACAGCAGGCACCTGCTCCTTCCAACCTAACGACCGCCGCTTCGGGACTATCGCCGACTGCGCATATGGTACCTGTACAGCCGGCTCAGAGTGCTCCCATGACTCACCCTCCTGCAACACAGTCACCTCACCAGCAACACCATAGCCTACCAGCTCAGCAGCTCATTAGTCCAGCGACAGCAACTCAGCATGAGCAGGCACCTTTTCAGGACTTTTCTAGACCCCCAGGGCAGTATTATACACCACAACAGGCGCAAGTCCCGCAGACTGGAGGTGCGCCCGGCGGTGTCCAGCCGATTGCTCCCCCAGGCCAGGCTTACAGCTACCCGCCTCCACCACCTCTTCAGCAACCGCAACACAATGCACAATCTGTCGCTTCACCAATGCCAAGTCAATTCCAACCGCACAGTCTACCAATCGACCAGCAGGCTCCACCGGCACCATACCCGCAGCAGCCTGAAGCCGCAACTACGAGCCCTCCAGCGCCTCAGCAGTATACGTCGCCTCCAAACCTGCCGCCCCTGGCTGGTGCGATGAACCATGGGCAAGTGCCTGCAAACTCCCCACCGACAGTACTAGATCAGCAGTACCAGCCATACCAGCGTGCTCCCGAAACGCCAAACTCTCAGCTTCTGCTGGCGAGTGCAAATAATGTACCCAGCCAACTCGCTGCTTATGACTACCAACAAGATCCTGTCGCTTCTCTGTCTGCCCAAATGAAGAATCTGAACGTCTTGAACAGTGGCCACCCTCCAACAGCACCGAATAATTCCCCGGCCGCACGACAGGATGGGCCCCGCGGACCGCCCCCTTGTCAAGCTACAGGCATGTCCAGCGACATTCTCCCATACTGTCCCGAAGATAGAACTGTAAGCTACTCGCTTGATTGGTATCGTTTTATTGCTGTACCACAGTATCTCATTTGCACGAGGTGCTATACCGACTATATTCAGAGCACTCATCTCGCTGGTCATTTCGAGAGGTACCATTCGCCAGAGGGCATAGAATCCAAGTGCGGCTTCTGGTCTCCTCGCGCACGAGAGGTGCTCTGGCCACAGGCTCTCCAGACCAACAACGTCAGACCTCTACAAGCCTGGATAGAGAAGAGCCTGACCCTCAAGCCCTGCAAGGGCAGGTTATGGACGACTGGTGCGGACGAGGTCAAGTGGTGGGGTCTGGTCAACGACGAGATTGATGGATTCATATCGTGCGATGCCTGCTACGAAGATAACGTCGTGGGCACTGCCTTTGAATCTCGCTTCCAACCTTACCGCCAGCAAGGACAGGACGAAAAGTGGATGTGTGATTTGTGCATACCTTACATCGCCAAAACAGTAGTAAAGATGGCAAAGAAAAATCACTGGAACGGCTTTGTCGAGGCGGCAAAGGTGCGAGTTCAACTTCCCCTTTGTGAGGGTAGAGATGAAGAGTCCAACAGTGGGCATTGGATGCTACCGCGCCGCAAGATCAAGGATATGACTATCTGCGAGGCATGTTATCTGGATAAACTTGCTTTAACGCCATTTGGCAACGAGTTCGAACGTCATATCCGTGCAGAAGGCTTTGACGCCTTCGTCGAATCAATAGGCCAGAGATGGAAGTGCAAGCTCACAGATACAGCTGTTAACATGAGTATCGCGCTCGAAGCAGCCATCTACCGTCGAGATTTTGATGTTTTCTGGAATGCCGCCAATGCCATCGCGGCTCTTGTTCCGTGCACAATTCATGGCATCGTGCGTGGCAATTGGTGGACTGTTGCTGGAGGATGCGCCGACTATGATGTCTGTGAGGCTTGTTATAAGGGAATCGTCGAGACATCTGGCCTCGAGAAATTCTTCGAGCCTGCCCAGCGCGACCAGACTGTCGACATCATTTGCAACTTTTGTCCAGGTACTCCGCGATGGGGAAGTTTCATCACCAAGTTCGCTGAAGCTGTTGACAAAGGTGTTTTCAGTCACTACTCTGACTACGTGAAGAAATGGGCTGGAGTGCCGACATGTCCAGGGATCAAGAACAGAGGGAAGAGTAAATGGTGGGGACACCCAGAAGCCCTGGCCTGTCAGGACTGTTGGTTGAACTTTGTGGCCGATACCCCCTTGGGAGATTCCGTTCCTGTCAAGGGGGTTTACGACGAACGTACCTTGATCTGTCAGCTATGGTCTCCAAGAATGCGCAACATGTGGCTCGCAGCTTGTGCCGCCGGACCTCCTGGATCACCTGAGTCACAAAAGGCCCTGGATGAGTTCAAAGCATTCGGATCAAGGCGTGTGCAAGTGTACAACGCGACCGTGCCTCACATCGAGATGATCCAGCAGATGCAGATGATGAAGCAAATGCAGGCTATGCAGCAGGGGCAACTGAGCTTGATGTACCAGGGTATGAATGGCATGGCAGCTATTAGTGGTACTACGGACGGGTACCTGCATGGTAATAGTTCTGTTGGGTACTATGAGACTGAGCATGGTGTGACGGCGGCGAATATGATGAACAACATGCATGCTGGGATGGCGGACGCGAATAAGATGAGCGATTGGCAAACAATAATGCAGCTTCAAGCCACTTGGATGGAGGTTGAGTAGTCTAGTTCTTGAAAGTGCGAAGCTTTGTCTCAAGTTGTATGATGATGAAATCCATTCGGTTATGCTATTCTACTCTCATGTGTTAATGTATGAATCCCATCCCATTGCTGGCGAGAGTCTACCTGTAATCCCGATGCAGGTCACAAATGCCTCTAATTTTCTTTTTTGTTTTCGCCTCTCTGTAGCCAACGCCTGAAAATGGCCTTTAGTCATGCCCTCACAGGTAATCCAACCTGCAGATACCCGAGTCCTCCCTCCATCGTGTCCGCCGGCGCAATCAGCTTCTTCAGAAGAGCAATCGACTCATTTCCACCACGTCCATCAGAAGTCCTCTCATCCTCCCAGTATTGATATAGCTGCCACCACCAGCAATGCGTGACCCCATCGAGGCCTTTATATCCAGCGACTCCATCTAACCCAACACGCTTCGCCCAAGGCTTGTCGACGATGTAGTGGAGGCAGATAACTTCCTCATCCCGCCAAATGTTAGGATGCCAATATCGCATCGTCTTTATGGCATTGTACTGCCATCCAAGTGCATACCACTTATTCTCGAAGAAGAATGCTAGGAAATCCTGATCTGGGAACATGAACGACGAAAGCAGCGGCGTCGTGTTGAACACGTGCAGCATCCTATCCCAGAGCTCTTCAGAAGGATGAAAGATGAACATTCCACCATTGAGAAGCTTGTGAGGTGAAGGTGACGTCTCAGTGGGTTGTAGGGGCTCCTCCAGCGCTGTGGGATGCTGAAGCGGCGTGTAAGCACAATTCTCGGCCCTCCAATCCTCAGGCGCCCAAGAGTCTGAATCAAGGTTACAGACACAAACGTGATTTGCTGCGATCCAATCATCAGGCAAATGCGTCTCGACTTTGAATACAACATCCATGTTATCCAGCACCGCCATGTCAGCGTCAAGGTAACAAACAGCATCATACTCAAACAGCTCAAAAACACGAAGTTTCGTCCAAGTATCGGCAAACCGCTCAGCGATAAGCGTCATCTTCACGTCTTCGGGCGGGAGAAGATGTTCGCATTCGCGCAGAATCATGTTACATTTTGGCGCCTCAAGCTCAAGAACGCGCTTCGCATCTTTGGGGAGGTTGGGCGTGTAGAGTACGACGAGAGGGTAAATTGAGGCATTGCGCTGGAGGGTGTAGGCGAGGATGATGACGCCGGGGAGGTAGGAGTCGCGAGTGATGAGGGTTGCATAGGCGTTGCGCCTGGCTGCGTTGTCTGCCATTTTTGTCGTGTTGCAGAAAATTGTGATATCAGGGAAGAAGAGGTTGAGTGTCGTTGGCTGGATGAATAGGGCGGGAGAAAGAGGGGTTGAGATTCGTGCACGTCATGACCTAAATATGTGAAGTCATTATTTGGTATTATTTTATCCCTTGCTTTATTCACGCTTGTTTGGGTTTTGTGTCGGAAAGTGCGTGTTTGAGTGCGAAAAAGCAAATACGAGCTGAATGCTGTGTTACATGGAGAAAGTATCGGTGAGGCTTTGTTGAAGCCACGACGTTTGTCCCGAAGATGAGACATGAGATTATCGAGATTGTGCCTGAAATGAATCTGAGTCAATGACGCGTATAGGCAAAGATTGATCTATGAGAAGCTAAGAACCCGTTTATTCAGATCTACAAAGACGAGATCAGCCAGATCTCAAGATCTAAAGTTCAGATTAAGATTCAGTGTAACATTCATCTGATCACATCCTTGCACTGCAACCCAACACCTGAAACTTCGCACCAATTTTTATCGCATACCAAGTTTCACTGCATTCAATAATTATCCACCGCCTGCACAATCGCACCCTCAGCGCCCTCATCTAAATCATCCAGCGCCTTCATATCCTTGTCATCTAGATCAAACCCGAAGACATCTGCGTTAGCTTTGATGCGCTCGGGTGTATCGCTCTTTGGGAGCGGAACCCAGTTTTTCTGAAGACAGTATCTGATTAATACTTGACTAGGCGAGACATTGTGCTTCGACGCGATGCTTTTGAGGGTTTTGTCATCGGCTTTTTGGTTGCGAACGAGAGGAGCGTAAGCTTCTACTACGATGTTGTTCTTTTCGCAGTATTCCACGGCATCTCTCTGCTGTGCCCATGGATGCAGCTAATGTGCTTGTTAATATTTATGATGCAACGTTATTTGGCGACATACCTCGATCTGATTGACGTGGGGAGGCCAAACTTTGGCGAATTGCTTCAGCTCTTCGATGTGCTTGATACCAAAGTTGCTCACGCCAATACTCTTGGCCTTACCATCCTCATACAGCCTCTCCAGAGCCTGCCACATCTCCTTCCTCTTGGTAGCGCCGCTGTTGGGGCTATGAATGAGGAAAAGGTCGACATAACGGCTCTCAGGATCAAGCTTGTCAATGCTCTCAATGCATTTCGCGTAGCTTGCATCCACGGAGCCAGCAGCCTCGAGGATCTTGGTTGTCAAGAAAACATCTTTCCGATCGACGTTTGACTTTTGAACGGCCTGTCCAACCTCTGTTTCATTGGCGTAGTACTGAGCCGTGTCGATGTGACGATACCCAACGTCAAGTGCAGTGAGGCATGACTTGGTGCAGACTTCGGGAGGGGATAAGTACACGCCGAAACCAAGCTGGGGAATTTGAACGGAATTCGCCAGAGGCAGAGTGTCGGATTGTGAGCGCTCCATGGCCAAGACAAACGAAATAATTATTTAATGAGATATATTAAAGTTTGGTGTTCTTGGACAAGAGGGGTAGACTGTGTTTTGCTGCTGTGTAACTTGTGCGGAGCGCGTAGAGATCCAGTCATAACTCGTCAGTTGAGTCGATGACGTTGTCGATACTCCTCTTTTTTGCCGTCTTGTAAAAGCGCATCAATGATGCCACATGATAAATATTCTAGATAGGGAGATATTAATCAATGAATTATCAGAAGATACCAGAAAATGAGTTATGAATCTAATTCTGTTCTCAGCGATTCCCGGCTTGCTTCCTCTGAACTTTGTGGGTAGACCGCCACATAAGTGAAGTCGCCAATCTCGACCCGGGATTGGTGCATGTCAAAACAGAATTCCTGACAGGGAACGAGGGCAGACCGCTAATACCACGTCTAGGTATCTTAAGTCATGATGGTAGATAGAATCTGCATTTTCAAGCCCAGCAACTGAAGAGGTTGCCCGCCGACGCAAGTATCGGATCCTTGGTTCAGCATTCTATGGGATGGTTGGGATTGCATGTCGCAGTGTACCGTACCCTGAAGTAGGTAGATCTCTTACACAACAACATGTCTTGTGGATGGGTATTGATTCGAAATGAAGAGAATGAATTGATGGATATTGTGGAAGTTTATTCTACCTGATCCTTTACCGTTGAGTTCGAGCCCTGCATCTACGATGCAGATTTCTATCAAGCAATCACACTCGTTTCGACATTCACTCCTATTCTATCAGGCCTCTGCAGCCCCTGTTTCTCCCAACTTTCCATCGCCTGCTCAAACAGCACCGCCTGTTCATCTTTAGCTGGCATCGGACTGACCTTTCCCCTTCTCGATCGACTCTCCATCGTCTCGGTGAGTCTAGCCTCCACATCTGTATCATTCATTACATCTTGGTCGAGAACGTATGATCGCGCCTCGCAGTTCTTCCATCCCGTCCCAGGGTTCAGCCATGAGTCTTCCCAATCATCGGTGAAGTAGTGGAGGAAACCCCCATGTGTCACAAGAGCAACTTGAGGATCCGTATCGCCTTGCTCTATAAGCTGTTGGATTTTCTGTCGGATGAAGATACGGGCGTCGCGGGCGCGGGCCGCTATCGCGTTACTTTCGGGACTGTAGCGAGTCCCTAAAGCTTTCACATTCCAACCGTCCTTGACTAAAGAGAGGTCGACAGGCCAGTTGTGCTCGGCTACGACTTCACGAAGAACAGATGGATCTGTTCCAATATCGCACGGGTCATCAGAGGTTTCTTGCGCGTCAGGGATCGCGATGATCTCAGGGTAACACTTGCTTCTGCCCTGGAGGGCTGGTTGAAACACGAGAAAGGCAGATTGGAGCGTTCGACAAAGGGGAGAAGCAAGGACAAGAGATATCTTTGACTGATCGGAGAAGGCGGTCTCTCGTAATGCCGTGTTCTGCTCTATACCGAAGGGAGTCAGGCGAGGATCAGGAAGAGTGTAGCATCCGGCACCAACATTGTGGAAGCCCTGTCCATGGCGGACGCAATGTATTAGTGGTGGCATTGGAAATGGAAGATGAAGAAGAGGAAAGGCTTGTGTCAATGAGTGAATTTGTTGACAAGAAACCGGGTCAAGACACAAATATATGCCAGCCTGGGATTGCGAGAAATACATCCTGTACGAGACTGCTGAATAATTCTAGATTTCTAATCAGATATCTTGATACTGGCAAATGTGGTATTAGCATACCAAGTCGGTAATTAATTAGCCTTTTCCATATCGCGGATGAACCTTGAAGCAGTCAAGATGCTGGTAGATCGCCCTGGGCTAACCCGACCTGGGCAGCCAAGGCTCCTGTCGTGCATTAGCGTAGTATCCACTGCCGCCTTGCCGGTAAACCTCACATATCGCAGGGTCTCAAATCGCAAGAACGTGGTTTTCAAGCTCAATAGTTTATAATGATGGAAGCTGATAGCCTGTGGGGATATCAAAATGATTCTGGTTTGGTCAGTTGTTAGTAGGGAACGTGGCGATAAGTGTTAAGAAGGATAGATACAACATTACCGCTTGATACGGCTACGCGAAACATGTACAGGCAAGCATGTGTCAGTATTTGGCTAACGCTTGGAGGCCGTAAGCGGCGGACTCAGGCTATTCTCAAGTCTCCATGGTCCGTAGATTCGCATCTTCATAAGTTATGATTACAAATGTGTAATAATTACGCCAGAAGAAATCGTTTAAGATTAGTTGCCCTCCTCTTTTCATAGCCTTGCTACTCCTCATACACATCTCTGTATATTCGGGGATCGATTCTTGACAGACAATGGCACAACCATCAATACCAGTTCAGCGTTTTCCCAGCCACCCCTCGACAAAGCCAACTGTCCCGTCGAGAGGATGCAGCCCCAGGGCTCTAGCTCAAGGTGTTGAGCTTCCACCAAACAACAACCCGTCGGCGGATCTCCATGACACTACCGCATCATCATCCGTAGCCGACGAGTCCCTCCAAGCACGCATCGAACGTCTCGGTCGCGAACGACCTCCGATCTTTACAACCCGTTGGAGTGAGATAATCTTCGTCTTCAGCATCTCCATGTCTCAATTCCTCACGGAATACTTCGTCTCGGGATTCACCGTCATCCTCCCAACTCTGATCAGAGAGCTCGACATCCCCCAATCAGCCAGCGTATGGCCAGCGACCGCTTTCTCCCTAGTCATCGCCAGCACCTTACTCGTATTTGGCCGTCTGGGCGACATGTGGGGAGGTTATCCCGTCTTCATATGGGGTCTTGGCTGGCTTCTTGTCTGGAGTGTAATAGCCGGGTTCAGCATCAATCCGCTAATGCTCGATTTGTGTCGGGCTCTGCAGGGGCTAGGAGCTGCCGCTTTCTTGCCTACTGGAGTCATGCTTATGGGCTCCTTGTATCGTCCTGGCCCGCGAAAGAATCTCGTCTTTGCAGTATACGGTACTTCAGCTGTATTTGGCTTTTTCGGTGGCATTCTCATGGCTGGCATCGTAGGTCAATTCACCCGCTGGGGGTTTTACTTCTGGATCGGTGCCATCCTGACAGCAATCACGCTGTTGACTTCGGTCTTGTCCATTCCGCGGCCTCATTTAGAGGGTCAGGCCCCAAACAAGGTCGCAATGGACTACCCTGGCGCCATCACGATCGTCTCTGGCCTCACCCTAGTCGTGTTCTCCATCTTGCAATCAGCGCATGCTTCTTCAGGTTGGAGGACGCCATATATTCCAATATGTTTCGGCCTTGGTGTCTTGTCACTTATTGCCGCAGTCTACGTCGAAGTCCGCGTCGCCACTCATCCTCTTCTACCGGCTTCGATCTTCACCACTCCTTGCATGAGCTCTCTCCTGCTGGCCCTCTTTCTGCTCTACGGCACCTGGGGCATATTCTCTGTATATGGCACACTATACTTCCAGAACATCATGTCCGCCAGTCCATTGCAGGTAGTAGCATGGTATGTGCCTCTCGGGGTCGCGGGCCTCATCTTCAGCATCATAGAGGGCTTTATCTTGCATTTAGTTCCAGGACGTGTGTTGCTGATCATTTCAGGTCTGGGCGCAGTTGGTTCACAGCTTCTCATAGCTCTGATTCCACCAGGGGGAAGCTATTGGGCTTGGGTGTTTCCCGCCGTCATCTTCAGCACCATAGGAATCGATCTGTCCACAATCTTATCGACAGTTTTCGTGACGACGAGCTTTCCTACAGCACAGCAGGGACTGGCTGGCAGTGTCATTAATTCTGTGCTGCAGCTGGGTGTAGCCTTTGTGCTTGCTTTGACGGACATCATCCAATCAGCAACGGTAGATGAGGCAGGGTTGGCGAGGAGCTATAAGAACACATTTTGGTTTGGAGTTGGAGCTGCAGCTGCTAGCCTGTTGATTCTGGCAATATGGGGTAAGGTACCCAAGGCCAGTAGTGATTTGACCGCGGATGAGAGGGCCGAACTCATGGAAGAGGCAATCTCGGAACAGCGAAGAAGCCAAGGCGGCAATGGCAGTACTCTGAGGAACACGTGATGCCGCATGTACTTCTCCGCTCATAAATCGTTGAGCAGTGGCCTATATAGTCCTAGTCGTAGGATCAAAGGTCTTTAGCCAGCATAGGAGATTGTCTAGCATCACCTTGCAATCATGCAATCAACCAATCGGCGCCCAAGCTCCTCAGCCTTTTGATCCAATTCCAGTCCTCTTCCCCTCCGTCGAATTCGTTATCACTGCTCGTTGAGGGAATTTCTTTCTTCTCCTCACCCCAAATTGTTCGCAATGCTCCGAGAGCCTCTCTAGTAAACCCCCAAGGCTCTACTTTCCAGAGCTCTTGGAATCTTCTCTCTACCCAGGCACGACTCGTGAAGTCACGCGTTTCTAGGCCAGCGATGAATACGGGCCACGCTGTTGCTGTGAATAATGCATCTCCAGGGTGCAAATATGAAAGGTGAGTGATGATCTCGGCTGCTAGTACCTGTAGATCATCTGACAATACCGTACTGGGCCACAGAGCAAGAATAATGCGTGAGAGATAGACACACACAGCTGTCCTGTGTGCGCACGCAACCATAGTGCGATGGAGGAGATCGTCAACCGGCGAGCGTGGCTGTAAACTGGTGGCCCAGGCAGCTGGGTCAAAAGACTTGGCCGCGTCTAAGAGCCGAAGCATATCGTGAAGTCCCGGGTTGATGGAGGTATCAGGAAACATGTAAAAGTTGTTGCTATTCAATATTTGAGCCCCTGCTTGTATCAAAGGAAGGAGAGCCGCCGGGAATGATGAGCAATGGTTCCCTTCTGCGTCCTGAAGCAGCGACATGGTAGTCATCGACAGCTCCCCACCTTGCGGTAGATAACAGTTCGCGAATGATGACCCAAGAAGATCATACCTAATCCTTGTAAACTCAAAAGCCATCAATAACCAGACAATGATACTTACACCAAGCAATTTGACACTAACCACCTGCGGAGAGGGCTGAAAGCGGTCCCTTTCCCCGAGCCAGATTCCATCAGTTTCTCTGTGATCATTCTCGCGCCGTTGATGTGAAACACCCAGCTGCCTCGTTCAGAGTCAATGAGCTCGAATCCGATGAGGAGAAACACCGCCGCCAGAATCGCATCAACATCCGCCGAAGCCATGCTTCCGAGAGCGGAGTTCAGCAGACAAAGTGCCTGCTCCTTTGCCCCGAGTGCATCATAGAAAGCCTCCGGGTATGACATTGCATGGCCAACCGATAGAGAGCCCACTAAGTTTGTGCTGTTCTGAGTCGAGGCCATCGTTGTGAAGATGCCTGATGGCTGTTGAGAAGCGTTCGACATATGCAAAGCCGAACTGGCAATGATGGCTTGCAGTAACATGGGCTGCTGGTATGCCATTGGAATCAGCTGGCGGAATGAATTGTGTTTTGGGATGTCATAGAGAACGAAGTCCTTGCAGACAACATTTGCAACTGTCACCAAACATCAGCCTCGAAAGCAGCCAAGAGTACAGAATCAACATACAATAATCCAGATATCTCCTCGATCGACAATCTAGATCTTGCATAAGCGGGTCCGTGAGCGAATGAGGAGAATTTGATTCTGAACTTGTGAATGAGGGCAGTCTTGAAGACAAGAAACGAGCCTGTGGCGCCTGTAGAGTGGCGGTCGCATCTCCATTCTGGATCTTGCTCATGTTGTCGGATGTAACACCAACCAATTTCCCACGACTTGCCAGGCCTTTCTCCCATCGCAACAGAACGCCATAGCCAAGACAGCTTTGGCCTCTACTGGTGCATTTCAGGCACTGCGGAATGGAGCGGTCACATCTTAAGCGGCCGCGCCTACAATTGTGGCATGATCCTGGCCGTGCACCCATAGCTTGGCTGAGTAGGAGAAAGGTGATGCAAAGAATAGTGGTACGTAGTACTGAGAGACCCTGTCCTGCTGCATAAAGGGGTCCCTATGCGCTGCGCTGCGCTGTGACGAAATGAGGCATCACTGAATGGTCAACCGATAAGATAAGAGGAGATAAGATAGGTAAGTGCCTATGACGCGTTGACTCACGTGGACCCGACAGCCAGGACAGGCCAAGAATGAAGTCCGTTGCCATAAGTCAAACGTATTAAAGACGGTAAATTGGATATCACCCGAAGCTTGTTTTATCAACACCAAACTTGTCTTCTGTTCTAGTATCGTGAAATGGTGGATGCGAATTATTTTACTTGTACGCTTGGTGAAGCCGCAAGATTGAAGCGAAAGGACGACAAGGCCAAAACATGGACGACAGTGGTGGAGTTGGTAGATGATCAGGCTGAGAAGAATCCTGATGCGCCGGCTTTGGGTTTCGCTACATTTACGCATTTGAAGTCTACACAAGGTGAGCATCAACCTTGATGGCAGATGCGTGGCTAACATAGGGAGTGTTCCGTCATCTCCTTACCTTTCGACATCTCTCAGACACATCAAAACATGCTGCCCAGATACTTTCAACTCATCTGCCGAAGGAACCTAAATCCTTGAAAATGGGCCTTCTATCATCCAGTAGCACAGAATTTGTTTTGACATGGCTTGGTTTGATGCGCCTGGGTCATACTGTTTTGCTTCTTGCGTAAGTCACTGGCCTCAAGGGATACGCAAATCTGACTATGTTGCAGCCCTCAATTGCCACCACCAGCGGTTCAGCATCTTTGCGAGACTCTAGCCATTAGACATGTTTTCGTTGACGACATCTACGAGTACAGAGCTCGCGGGCTCTCCGACGACATCGAGATCATCAGATTACCTTCATATAGAGAGGACTCACCAGCAGATAATAATTTGGAACAAACCCCCGGTGTTTCTGAAACAGCTTACATATGTCACACTTCGGGGACATCGTCAGGGCTGCCCAAGCCAATCCCTCAAACGCAGTTCGGGGTTATGGGAGCTTTGTACAGCTTCCCCGGGAAGAACAAGCCTGCGACTTTCTCCACTACTCCCCTCTATCACGGAGGATTTCCAGATTGCCTAAGAGCTTGGACAAGCGGTGCTTCGATATGGTTCTTCCCCGAAGGCCAAGCTCCCATCACAGGCGCCAATATCATGAGAGCTATCGAGTTTGCTCGCGCGCACAGTCCAATACCCGTCAAGTACTTCTCGTCAGTTCCATATGTGCTTCAGATGCTGTCTGAAGAGTATGGAGGCATCGAAATCCTTCAGACAATGGAACTCGTTGGTGTCGGTGGCGCTGCTCTCCCACCAGCCATAGGCGATAAGCTCGTGGACGAAGGCGTGAATCTCCTCTCTCGCATGGGAAGTGCAGAATGCGGGTTCCTGATATCTTCTCATAGAGACTACGCCAAGGACAAGGACTGGCAATTCCTCCGGGCCATCGATGATCCAAAGCTTATCGAATTTCAACCCCGTGAGAATGATCTCTCAGAACTTGTTGTCAAGCCTGGCTGGCCTTTCTTGATCAAGACGAATCGCGAAGATGGATCATACGCGACTTCTGACCTCTTTGAACCACATCCATCAATCCCAAACGCGTGGCGGTACCACAGCAGAGCTGATGCACAGATCACTCTTGCGAATGGAAAGAAGTTTGATCCTTCGCCTGTCGAGGGGAGCATACTGGCTTCTTCGAAACTGCTGCAGGATGTTCTCATCTTCGGAAGTGGAAGAGACTACGCTGGGGCACTTTTGTTTCCTTCTTCGAGCGACATCAGTGCGGATGAAGTGATCGATTCAGTCTGGCCACATATCGACAAGTTGAACAGTGACAGCCAAACCCATACTCGAATCAACAAGGCAATGATGGTAGTTGTCCCTGTCAAAGAGGGTCAGAGGCCGCTGGAGAAGAGTAGCAAGGGAACTATTCTTCGTCGACAAGCTGAAGAGAAGTACTCAGGTGAGATTGAAGGGGCTTACAGCAACACATCATCTTCGACGAAGGTTCCTCAAGAGGGGCTTCAAAAGGCGGTTCAAGATTGCTTCGAGAAGGTCCTTGGCCGGCAAGTCGAACCAGATCAAGACTTGTATCGTCAGGGCGTCGACTCGATCTCCTGCATACAAATCCGAAAGTTGCTTGAACAGACTTGTCTATCGTCTGAATCTGAGGATAACCGGCTTCCTCTGAATGTCATCTACGATCAAGGCACCGTCAATTCACTTGTTGACTATTTGGAAACAGCGAATTCAGGCGGTGACGAACCGGACATCGACCCCGATGAGTCGGAACTCAGCCTCATGCAAGCTCTTGCTGATAAGTACAGCAATTTTGATCCAGCCTCGCATGATACCAGCGGTATGGTAGGATCAGGAGCATCTTCTTCGAGTAGTGGTGCCAAAACTCAAGCACAGCAAAATCGCGAAGCATTGGGGGAAAAGAAACGGCTGGCCCAGATGGCTATGAAGATCGCCCAAGACCCCAATGATCGCCCCACGCGCGTGGTCCTCACCGGCGCGACTGGGTTCCTTGGGGCGCATATCCTTCACCTTCTCCGGGATGACCCTAAGGTTGACAGGATCTACTGTCTGCTCCGAGCTGACGGTCCATTCGCGGCCCAGAAACGAGTCTCTGAAGGCCTCTTCCAGCGATTTCTGCCACCTCTAGAACCACGCCAGGGCAAAGTCGTCTGTCTTCCATGCGATTTAACACAGAAAGACCTTGGACTCTCCGAAGAGCAGCTTCGGGAGATTTCGACGAGTGCTACGAATATCATTCACTCAGCTTGGGCGGTCAACTTTAGTCTTCGACTCAACTCTTTCGAGGATCAGATCTCGAGTACAAAGAATTTGATCAACCTCGCTGCAGAGGCTGATGCACAGTTCATTTTTGTCAGCTCCATTGCAGCGGTGAGCGACTCTACTGCTCGACCGATTCCTGAGAAGCTCTCCCAGGATCCTAAAGCGGCTTCACCACTTGGCTACTCACGCTCCAAGTGGGCAGCAGAGCAGATTTGTGATGCTGCGAACAAGAAACACGACTCTCCTCTGGCCTCCATAGTTAGGGTTGGCCAACTTTGCAGCAATGAAACTGGAGTCTGGAATACCACTGAGGCATACCCGTTACTGCTCTCAACATCAAAGATCACAGGGTGTCTGCCTGATCTTGCAAACGAAGTGCCCAATTGGCTTCCAGTCGAGCAAGCTGCCCAAGCTGTTGTCGAGATTGCATCCACGAGCTCCAATGACTCGGGGACACCTGTTTACCACGTCTTGAATCCACATACCACGCCAATCTGGAAAGACATGCTGGACTGGTTAGCCGCCAGTAACGAGGGTCCCGAGTTCGAGATTGTCTCATCGTCGGAGTGGCTTGAGCGATTGGAGAAGGCGTTGAGCGACGACAGTGCCAATCATCCGTCACAAGCTCTCCTAGGTCTATGGAAGCAGTCATATTCCAAGGATATCGACAATAGCAGTACAAGGGAGGATCAGGAGGGTTCCTTATTTGATGTTGCTCAAACACAGAAGGTCTCGGCTTCAATACGGGACGTTAAGCCACTGACTCGCGAGAGACTGATCAAGACTTGGAAGTGGGTGAACGAGAACATTAAGGGCTGAGCGTTCTTTACCATTTTGAATGCTAGATAGCAGAATTGAATATCAGCAATAAACAAGTCAAACTGCATGCCTCGAGAGTATAATGCAGGTAGCCCATCCATCAAGAAGTTTGCAAATCTGACTTGAGTGCGAGGTGCCAAAAGTAACTAGTCCAAGGTCAACTATACTAACACTAGACTTGATCAGGTTATTCTGTCATCTTGCGGAGAGGTCGTCCTTCAAGCGGGACCATCGGCGACTTGTCTGACTTGTGATTCGCTATGTCCCTTAGCCCGCTGATATCACCAGTCACGACGATGGAATGTCTCCGACGACGATATTACCATCCGCGATATGTTCGAAGTCTTCGTCCACTTCGAACTATCAAGTAAATTCCCTTAAAAATCTCACCGATATCAATCTCTCCGCGATGAGAATGAGTTCCGTCACTAAGTCAAACATCTCGAGCCCCGCTCGGCGGTCAGCCTGCGAAGGCTGTAGTACGTCATTCACTCTCATTCTGTACTGGTAACGAAGCCTAACAGGTCTAGGGCAAAGAAAGTCAAGATGCGATGGTGGAAAACCTTCATGTCGAAGATGCTCTAGTTTAGGCCTCGACTGTCAATACTCGGTCAAGAAACAAATGGGCAGACCTGCAAAACGCCGACAAGTTTTGGCTGCAGCACTCCCTAGTCCAGCTGTCCAAGATGACACGCCCTTCTTGTCCCTTTTATCACCTCAATCAATGGTCGAAACTCTCAGTCATGTTGAGTGGAACGCCTGCGTAGATCCAAGCTTCATGCCTGACTTGAGCTCTGAGATACTGAGCGAACTTCAGCTTGAGTTGGGCAAAGTCGCCGACTACTCACGCCCGGCACAAGAACTCCCATCGAGCTCCACTACTACTCCGTCGCTTGATTCCTCAACTTCAAATGCTACTTCGGTAGTTACAGTGTCGCCCATCCCGCAAACATCGTCACGGTCATGTTCTTGTCTAGCAACTTTCTATCTCGCAGTAGATGATCTCTGCAAGAACGAAAGACTCTCCTTTCCGTCAGGCCTTCCTTTTCTTCGCAAAACGATCTCTACGGCCAGCCAAATTGCTCATTGCGAGATCTGCCCAACCAGCCACCTCTCTGCCATGCAGAATATTCAACTTCTGGGAACTCTTCTCATGTCAGTGGGGCAGCAGTATGGGGTAATTCTGGAGTCCATAGATAAAGAAGCCAAGGCATCAAAAGATAAAAATGAGCTGAAGCGTCTCCAGTTCAGCGATGTCGGTGTTGAGTATTCGTCAGAGGCTCCAAGTTACAACCTAGAATTAAGCCCCACGGATTGGGCTGAACTGGCTAAAAAAGCTGTCAAGGCTGAGGTTTACGGAAATGGGAGGGAAGAGTGTTTATGGGGTGTTTTGAACTATCTTGAAAAACGGCAGGCTCAGTGGCATGCAGTGCCGCCGCATCAAGATTGTCCTCACCAGTACCAGCTGTCGGAAGAGGAGCCATTTTGCATAAAGATACTTCACAAGGCGAAAGAGTCAATAGAGGCTCTAAAGTGGAAGTGCCGTGAACTCTATGGTCCGGATAACCCTGGTGCTGGTACGATTTCCCTTCTCTAAAGCACCTGAGTAAATTGGTCGCAGTTTTACTTTGTTTCATGGAAGCTCTCTGATATTCTCGTTTTCGATCTCACGTTGGTTTAATTACCTGGTCATCCCACAGGAAGGCAGCTAGTGCTGAGATCGAGAAACATGAGCAGGCATTGCAAGAATACATCCTTCAGCCTGAATCAGCTTCCATCGTTAGTTGTCAATAGCTTATCTACAGGGGGTATGTGAAGCCTATAAGATGGTTAAAGGCGTCAGATCTGGTTGCCTAAACCTCATTTTCCGTAGCCTGTAAACATAATGGATGAGGAGTCTCACATCATCACACGAAGCGCTAAGACTCCTTCGTCAGCGAGCCTTGATATCTAGCACCAATTCCCTATATGCCGTATGTAACCCAATAAAAGGGCCAGAAACTGTCCACCCGAGAGGCAAAAGTATCCGCTTATCTCTCCTCGAGGCCCAACGCATATAGCCTTTCCGCATTCCTTCTTCATTTCTTCCCCATTTTCCACGGAAGATGACTTCATCTTGATCCAAAATATCCTGTCCAAACATGCCTCACTTTGTCAACACACACTGCATCGAGCCTCATTTCCTTCGCAATGTCCTAGATGTTCTGATCATTGGGACACGGACGGCTGGTCTCTTTGCGGCCATGGCTCTTGGTCGTGCGCGAAGGAGTGCCATCGTTTTCGGTGTTGACGATTTTGGAGCCAGACTCCATGAGGCTACAAGCCAAACGATCTCAAAGTCGATCCAGGACGAGACTGTAGCTGAGATCAAAGCCAAATTCAAGACTATCATGTTTAGCCGCGCGACAGCGGCGTCTGTTCGTGAGAAGGGCATGGTATTCGAAGTGGAAGACGTTACAGGTCGATGTTGGAAGGGAAGAAAGGTGATATTGGCTATGAGTAGCCGTAATGTTCTTCCAGATATCCCGGGATACGAAGAAGCTTTGGGCAAGAACATGTAAGCCCTCTGCGGAAGGACTGCAAACTCCCATTCCTGACTCCATTGACAGTTTCGATGTGTCACGATGCCTCGAGGTTATTAAAGTTGCGGCTACCCACGCTGCTGTGCTCGTCACCTCCGACTCTTCGAGTTCTATTGAGGCAGCGGTGCTGGCAGCTCATCTCGCGCGACAGTTCAGCCCCAATGTAACATTCCTGACTAACGGCCTTTTACATGTTGAGCATCATCCCCAAATCATTGCAGGCAAGACTTGTGGGTTCAAATTAGATAACAGACCCATCAAAGCACTGGAGAGTTTGGAAACTTCAGTGGCTGTCCAGTTCACCGATGGGGCAGAATCAGTGTACGGTTTGGTAGTGCATAAGCCCAGCAAGATCATTGCTGGGCCTTTTTCAGAACACTTAAATCTGGAAATGACATCGGAAGGGAGGATTTTTGTGGAAAATGAGTTTCAAGAGACAAGCACACGTGGTATCTTCGCAGTTGATGACAGTGCCAGCTTTCTCAAGGAAGAGAGTGCCGGGGCCAGCGCTGGGTGGCTTGCTGGGGTTGGTGCAAACTTGCAAATTGCCGAGGACGATATGAATATGTAGTTTAGATTTGTTCCGAATATAGGAGGAAGCACATTAGAAGAAGTCGCCGATTCTTTCCACTGGTGTATGATGATCCTTGGTGATTGTTGTTGACGATCCCAGTCATCGAGGACTAGATTTTGGTCGCCGAACGTACGCGAATGGCAGGCCTTGTATCATAGCCGAGGCCAAATACTAATATGATTATGCATCTTCAAGTGCTAGACACCGATGTACATGTTTCATGGACAGAAATGCTACATTGTGCAATTGGTAGGCATTGCGTTTCATTGATGTTGCCTAGTTTAGGGTAACTCGGCTTGTTGCAGTGTCATGCTACCCTCCCGCCGTGTAGGTATATAGAAAAAACTTGGAATCTTCGGGAAGGGTAGCCGTGATCAGTTAGTGTCTGGTAAGTTTAGGCTTCATCACACATTGGCCTACCAATTATTCCACGGGGTCCTTGTCCCCTGAATTCCATGTGAAGCTCTAAGGCTCGCCTCACGATTGAGTTCTGGTGTCTCGGGAGGCAGAAACAGGACCCATCTCGTATTCATTGCCGATATATGTCTAGGGATGGCAATTGAAGCCCATACGGAGTAATGTCCAATCATGCTATTATTCTTTAGCTGTCGCAGCTTATGACCGGAAGTCGCCGTTCCAAAGAGCGTAGTTGGGACATCGGGCTCTAATTTCGGACCATCGGCGGCAATCACTTTATCCCTGAATCACGCAATTGAAACTTATCCTCGGCTGGTTAGTTCCCGCCCCGGACAAACCATAACCCGCCCCTATCAGACCCCAAAACAGCAAAGCGCTGCACGCTAGTGGGTACGTACAGTACGTCACTTCAATTGTACTTTTTCTGGCGTGTTCACTCTTGAGCTTGAGCTTTTTCTCGCATTCGACTTCACTCTCCTCCTTTTGAAGAAAAACACAAAAACTCAAAATGCTTTCAAGTCGTGTGACATTGGCAGTTCGATCTGCGGCCCTTGGCCAGTCTCGGAGGGGTCTCGCTACCGCTGCGGCCGTGACGTCTGCTAGCCGAAGTCACAAGGTCGTCGTTATTGGAGGAGGCTCTGCTGGTCTCGCGATCAGCCATCAACTTCTCCGAAGCGGCCGATTCGCCAATGAGGACATCGCCGTTGTCGACCCTGCTCAGTGGCACCATTACCAGCCTGGATGGACACTCGTAGGTGCTGGACTCAAGACCAAGGAGGAATTGAAGATGTCCATGCCTGAACTCATTGACCCCAAGCTCAAATTCTACAACGTCAGCGTTGATGCTCTCACTCCTGAGGACAACAGCATCACTCTTGGAACTGGCGACAAGGTCAACTATGAGCACCTTGTTGTTGCGCCCGGCATCAAGATCAACTACGACAGCATCAAGGGCCTCCCCGAAGCTCTCGCCGAGCGCAACGGTCCTGTCTCTTCCATCTACGGCTACGACTACTGCGACAAGGTCTTCCCCAACATTCAGCGCCTCCAGAAGGGTAACGCCATCTTTACTCAACCCGCCGGCGTCATCAAGTGCGCCGGTGCTCCCCAGAAGTCCATGTGGCTTGCCCTCGACCACTGGAAGCAGACTGGCCTCTATGACCCCAAGAACCCCTCCGGCTCTCCTATCAAGATCACCTTCGCCACCGGCCTCCCTGTCATGTTCGGTGTTCCCAAGTACAGCGCCGAGCTAGAGAAGCTGCGACAAGAGCGTGGTGTTGAGGGCCTTTTTCAGCACGATCTTGTTGCGATTGAGGGCAACAACGCTGTCTTTGCCAACGGCCAGGACAAGGTCACTAAGCCGTTTGACTTCCTGCACGTCGTTCCCAAGATGGGACCTCATGCATTCGTCAAGAAGAGCGCTCTCGCAAACGAGGCTGGCTACGTTGACGTCAACGACAACACCCTCCGCCACAACAAGTTCGCCAACGTCTGGTCTGCAGGCGATGCTTCAAGCCTTCCTACCTCCAAGACCGCCGCCGCCGTAACCTCCGAGGCGCCCGTTCTCGTCAGCAACCTCCTCCGCGCCATCGATGGTCAAGAGCCCGAGACTGCCTATGATGGCTACACCTCGTGCCCTCTCCTCACAGAATACGGTAAGGTGATGCTGGCCGAGTTTAAGTACGGTGGCGTTCCCAAGGAGACTTTCGGAGATATTCTCGGGATCGACCAAGCCGTTCCCCGCCGCTCGTTCTACCACCTGAAGAAGGACTTCTTCCCCTGGGTTTACAAGAACTACATGGTAAAGGGAACGTGGGGAGGACCTAAGGGCTGGATTAAATAGACAAAAGTTTGAACTTGCTGTATGTTAGACATGTACCATTGGGGAGATTGTATACCCACGGAGGAACTGGAATAAAAGCTGCAAAATAATGACACTAACGACGCATGGCTTGGCCGATGTGATGTCGGTTTATTCGTTTTTGGCTAATCAACAGACATGGTGGCATCGAGCCCTCGGCCGAACATTAGAGAAGCTCAATCGTTCTAACTAGAGCGCCATCCTCACTTTGGGAAACTCGTCCTGCCCCCAACGGTACACATTCAAAATAAAGTCTCGCCTCCCCGGTATAGACAAGCATATTGACTGCTGTTGTTCACAGTATTCACATGGCTCCCAGCCGCCCAGCTTTCCCACGCCCCGAATGTCGTACAATCTCTCACCACAAGCTGCTGTAAGCCGTGAGTCCTATTTATGGACCAAAAGGGCAGACTTTCGTCTTGACACTGAAGCGCGCAAACTTTACCGCGAAATTGTATGCTTGGATCACAGTCTCCGGAATCTCAGGCCTCAACTAGACATCAACACACGCGATCTCGAGAAAATAGGCTTCTACAGCACAAAGGCCAAACTCAGCTGGTTCGGATCGCTGCGTCGACGAATAAACGAGCGGTTGGATCAACAGAAACAACGCGATCGTCAGATTGATCAGATACGCACCCAACTCCTAGTAGTCCAGATTCCATTGGATAAGAAGAACATAGCCAGGAGAGAGGCGAGGCTAGCCAAGCTTCGGGCAAAATTTGAACCGAGGATCCGGTGGAAGAGTCAGGAGGCTCAGCAGGATTACCAGAAATGGCTTATTGAAGCGAGGAGACGAGAAGATGAGATGAAGAAATGGAAGATAGAGCAGAAGAAGAGGGACAGGGAACAGTGGGAGGATAAGTGGGAAAGCACGTGGCAGGAGTTTCTTTTGAGCAACGGAGCCAAGACAAAGGTTTCTAGAGGACACCCTGAACTGTGGGGTTCTTTGCTTCTGTAGATGGATCTTCATGGATCGCGGTTCTGGCGGTTTGGTGCAATTGGAGGTTGTTTGGTGTTTATCGACAGACATGGAAGCACAACATCACGATAAAGATTTTGGAGGATTAATATGGTATGACTGGGAAACAGCTTTGATTGTTTGGATTCTGAATTTCTCATTTCTTTGCTTCTTACTTTTTTCTTTATTTCTTGACCGTTTTTTGCTGCTATTTTGCATGGTCATCTTTGCCTCTCGAGTCGACCAACGGGTAGCGACTTTCAGACTTTCATTGTCGCAGGATTACCGTTATCCTTTATCTACTCATGCAAATCGGATACTACGTCTACGATAATGGACTAAGCCTGGGGTTGATTTGGTTCGATTTCATAATGTTTAATATCTTAACTGAGGTTTATATCACAATATTTTTAACACTCGAGATTCCCCTAACGAGTCACTGACCCTACCTCAAGAGCCTCAGAAGGGCGCGAGATGAGCTTCCTTTGATATGGAAAAGCCGTGCGTTCATCGACGCGTGATTCCGTATTGCATAACATCTCCCTCGTCAGACATCCGCTGAGTCAATAATACAAAGAGGAGGCCAGAGACGAATAATGTGGATAAAGCCTTGTTAGGTGTAACCTATAAGACCCGAGCCAAAAATGCCAAACACCGTACTAGAGTTCAAGTCTATGAAAGGTAGAACCGCAAGATTTACATTGAAACTTTGTACGGATCAGGCAATGCGAAATATGATAGGCTTTCACGCTTTGTGCCGCAGTGAGGGGTACGCGACAAAGTTTGATTTGGACTTGAAACAGACAAGTGGCTTAAATCAAGTAACAAAATTGTGTTAATTTGTATTCTTTGCCTTGTGTTGGGGCTGAAGCCTCTTTCTATCTCGCAACCTTATCACAGGTAGGGCTTGTAGGAGCACAAACTCGGTCGAGTTCTTTAAGTACCTGGAGAGCCCAGAGAGCCCACCACTACCCCTCACTACTAAAGATTTTCTGCGGCTTCAGAATCACTCATTCATGATGGACTTTATTGACTACTACGAAATATTGAATCTGCATCACACAGCAGATGAGAATGAGATCAAGACGGCTTATCGACAGCTGGCTAAGACGACACATCCAGATAAGAATCAAGAGAATAACCAAGCCACTCAGAATTTTCAAAAGGTTAGTAATGGTCAACTTACCTAGCGTTTATACTAAGTAATTGGAAGCTCAACGAAGCATACTCTACACTATCTGACACACGAAAACGTCGAGTTTACGATCTCAAGTACGAACGGCAAACAGGATCATATGCACCTCGGTTTTCCAGCATACATAGAACAAACACATCCACGAATGAGAATACTGCACCTAACCCCGGGTTCAGTGACACGCATTTCGAGGTACCTTTACAAAATGACCCCCAGGAAAAACTGCTCTTGAAGATATGGGAAGCGGATGGGTTCATTGAGCAGTTCAAATCTTGTGTAAAAAGCACCGAGAAAAAAGTAAAACGCCAGAGGCGAATGGTAGAGGAGAAAAAGGAGGTCCTACAAATTTTCGAAGAAGAAGTCTCTAGTGCGGAGGTCGAATTGAAAAGAAAATATGAATACGGGGCTGGGCCGTCAAATTTGGAACATACAAGAGAATACCGTCTGTTTCGAATGCAAATGGACTACAAGACTCGTATAGAAGCTGAGCTCAAAGAGGAAGAAGAAAAGCTTGGGCTTCTCGAAAGGCAGCTTCAGGAGTTTAGCAGTCGACTCTCTTACTGGGAAAAGAAGAGGGATTCTTTTGATCGCAACTAAGAATTCATGCGAATCTGATCTACTCGGTACATCCGGGCCGATATGCAATGCCGTGCGGCGTGGAATGAAGAAGGAAAAGGAAAAGGAAAAGGAAGCTTCCCCGGATGTACAGCCTAGTACGGGGGAGAAATGGACAGAGTGGTTAGAAAGGACCTACAAGCTTTTGAGGAGAAAGTGCAGCACGAGGTAGCAATATGGAATTGTGAATTTAAAAGTGCCAGGAGGCTCTGGAAAAACATGCTCTGATGAGGGATGCAGGATAGATGCTTCGCCTGTACACGGACTCAGGACACCACATGAGTGAAAGCCGGGCCTGAATGTAGAGTAGTAGCGGAAGGGCCTTCATTAAACGTTGAATTATATGCAAAATGTCTCCGTTAAAAATATGTACATGAAGTATCCGAGTTCTCTCGAATATCGTAGCAGGGGAGATTTCGGCCCCAGAGCGTACTTGGAGCCTCGATCATAAAGGAGGAGTCAAAACAGAAGGCATATCTCAGAGTAACTACAAGAAAACACCCATGAAAACGAAGATCACTGTGATGGAGCCCAGAATACCCCGTCTGTAGTGCCCAGCTTCCCCAACTACAACTTCCGGCACTGCGGGCCATTGCCGCTGGCCGGGGAAGAAGACTGTGAAGGCACCGCATATGGCTTTGCGTGTCGACCGCTAGGAAACTTATTCTTCCCGCACTCGATTGATTCTGGCTGGGGCTGGTACTCTCGATATGAGCACCAGCGATAGGCGTGGCATCTCAGAGCGACGTAGTGACTGTTCTAACAGGTCCCAGTATCGCATGATATGCACCTCGGGTGGGAACAAAAGCGTTGGTCGAGCCTTGGCATGAGCATCATTTTTGGCTCTGTAACGGCAGCGCAAGGTGCAGTGATTGTGGCTTCGTTCTCGCCACGATCACAGCAAGCGTCGCAAGGCATAACGTAAATGGTCATCTCAACAGTGGGAACGGAAGGATGGGCACAATGGCTACAAGGCTGCTCATATGATAAAGTAGCACAGTATTCGGTGACTGTCATGATTGAAGGGTTGTTTGGGTCGATGATGATGTAAGTGACTGTCGTAACCGTGGTCTCGACCAGTGCCTGTCCCAGCCTTGTAACAGATTCGATCGCTGTCTGAACCGGCTGAAGGATGAGAGATTGAGTCAGAATATCTACGATAGTGGCTACTTGCCTAGAGGAAATGGCTTCTGTGGGAATGACTGTGATTTCATCTTGCGTGGCAACTGGAACCTCAATCTCCGTGCTGGTCTCAACGGGCGAAGGAGGCTCGCCATCTAGAGCGTACAAGGTCAAGAGCGATTGCCTATGTCAAGAATGGCTTCCGTAGCCTTGTCGTAAATGATAGCCCGGTCAGGTGTCGATTTAGCTGGCTGCAATGGTGCATCGGGACTGGCGTCCACAACCCGATCGTCGATGCAGGCTGTGTCATGAGTATCCATGATTGCATCCATTTTCTCTCGGTGGGTCCTGTCGGCCGAGCTTCTCGATAGCTCAAACAAGATGCTGGCTAAAACTAAGCCAGCCATAATGAACGAGCTTCATTCGTACGTTCAGTATGCGCTACGCATTCGTCGGATCGCCCACTTGCGCAACCCGAACTTCGGCCGAGACGTAGATCTTCCCCAGAATTGACGTAAAGAACTCTGGGGTTGCGGGGTAAATAAGTTCGGAGACCTCGGGGGACAACAGACGAGATGCTGACACTTGATCTTGGGCTGACAGAACATGCCCCACGTCATTGGATACAACTATCCCCTATCAAGCCTCGGGAGGACAAATCGGTAATTCTCATCTGGCGGACGTGCGCTATAAAACCTCGACAAGTCCAGACTCAAGGGTAACCTCGTTCTCAACGACCTCCGGCCTCTTGACACTGGCGACACCTCGAGATGACCTCTCCAATCGCAGTATTTGCTATCCCGGCAGTGCTTTTAGCACTACTCTTGCGGTTCGCCGTTCAATCTTTCCGCTCACCACTACGAACTGTCCCGGGACCTACCCTCGCCCGGTTCACAGATGGCTGGTACTTCTGGAAAGTCTGGAAAGGCTCATTCCAAGATGTAAACCTGGATCTACATAAGAAATACGGTATTTTCACCCGCCGCTTTGCTTACAACATCCACTGAATGCACTGCCTTAGGGACAATTGTGCGATATGGGCCCAACCGATATAGTTTCAACGATCCCGAGGCAGCCAAGACAATCTACGGCCTGGGCACTCACTTCGCAAAGTCATCTTGGTACTCAGCCTGGTCAAGTCCTGGCGCATGGGCCATCTTCAGCGATCAGTCTGTCAAACGCCACAACCAGAACCGAAAGCTATATCAAGCGACATACGCAATGTCGTCACTTGTGCACTATGAGCCCTTTGTCGACGATTGCGCCGACATCTTTACTCAACGTCTCTCCGAGATGACCAGCACCTCGACCCATCTACCTGTCGACATGCGACACTGGTTCCAGTGCTACGCATTCGATGTCATCGGTCTGATCACATATGCAAAGCGCTTCGGCTTCCTGGACAGTGGAGACGATGTTGGTAATGTCATCGGTGCTTTGGAGGACCATTTGGGTTATGCGACCCTGGTTGGCATTTTCCCAAGTCTGCATAAGTACCTCTTCAAGATCAGGAACTGGCTAGCCGGAGGGAAGGGAACAGGACGAGCATACATCTTGAACTTTACAAACGAGAGGATTCGTCAAGCTCAGGTGGCTCCCAAGCCCGTCGCCGCGGAGAGTGAGGTCACCATGGAAGATTTTCTCACCAAGTTTCTGGCCAAACATGCTGCCTCACCGGATGTCTTCACTCAGTATCACGTTCTCATGGGATGCACGTCTAATATGGTCGCGGGCTCTGATACTACTGCCATCAGTCTTTCAGCTGTTCTGTACTATTTGCTGAAGAACCCGGGTTGCTTACAGAAGTTAAGGGCCGAGATCGACGACCTTACAGCACGAGGAGATTTGTCAAAGTCCCCCACCTTCAAGGAAAGCCAGCAGATGGTCTATTTCCAAGCTGTGATCAAGGAGGCGCTACGAATGCATCCTGCTACGGGTCTACCACTCGAGAGAGTCGTCCCCGAGGGCGGCGCAACGATATGTGGACGATTCTTCCCAGAAGGGGTAAGTCTGTTATGGTGAAGCTCGAAAAGCTTGAGCTCGCTGCTGACGGATAATACAGACTATTGTTGGTATCAACACATGGGTAGCGCACCGTGATACTCGGGTGTTTGGCCAAGATGCCAATTCCTTTAACCCGGACAGATGGCTCACGGCTGAAAGCGAAAGGCTCTCTATGATGAACCGTTACTATATGCCTGTAAGGCTCCTTCGGCTGAAGAATTTGATCATATCACTGACGAGAGACCATTTTAGTTCGGACTCGGCTCACGAAACTGTATTGGCCGACACGTCTCAATGCTTGAGATGTCAAAGCTGATCCCACGAATTATCCGCGATTTTGACTTCAGCCTTGATTCATCGTTGCAGCACCAGAACTGGCATACTCAGAGCTATTGGTTCGTCAAGCCGTTGGACTTTAAAGTGCGCATTCAACCACGCTTTTCAGAGAAGCAGAGGGCATGAGGAAAGCGGCTTAAGTAGCAAAGGCTATAGTTATGTCCTTGGGATCCTATATCTGCACTCACGAGATAATTTTCCTCTGTTCAGTTTTGGCTCAAACATTTAGAACTTCACTGGGAACTTGAATCGAAATAACACAATGACATGTGCATCTTGCGAGTAACCTATGGATTCTGAAAACCTGTTGGATATTCCTAGATGACCATTGACAAAGATATCTTCAAAACTTTTCATTGATCAGTTTTTCTGACAGTTCCCACAGCTTCTCCGCCTCTTCATCAGACTCAGCCTTGGGATGCGCACCGCTGCAAATCTGACAATCTTCCAGGAATACACCGTAGTTCTCTTTTCCCTCTCGCTTCTCTCCTGGCCCAAGTTTAGGATCCAGCGCCGCAGCAACAGTGGTTGACGACCCGGCTTGAAGCGTCTTGTACCTCACCCCCCTCTGGTTACCTACCTTTACAATTGCCTCGCGAGCTTCAGATGACATGTGTCTGCTGAGTTCTGTCTCAATCCATCCTGGAAAGACTGCTAGAGACAGGATTCCATAACGCTCGTACCATCGCTTGTTTGCGCCAATGCTGAAGAGTACATTTGCGACTTTGCTCTGGTTATACGCCGCCAGAGGAATGTAGCTCAGCTCTTCCACATTAGGAGACCCCCATGCTCTATGCACTTCATAGTTGGGCCTCTCTTCTTCCGGTAGGTCCTTGTTCTTCTTCTCAAAGTTGATGTCACTCCATCTCATGTAAGCCCATTTTGGCGAACCGCTGGACACGTTGATGATGCGAGTTGCGCCTTTGGGGCTCTCCTCAGAAGCCTTGATAAGCTTTGGTAAAATGAGGCTGGTGAAGAGGAAGTGACCGATATGATTGGTCGCAAAATGCATCTCAATCCTCTCCGGACTATACGTGTGTTCTGGGAGGAACGCGACTCCAGCATTGTTAATGAGCAGGTCGATTTTTGGAATGTCATTCCGACCGAGAAGTTCCGCAGTAGCGGCGCGAACCGACTGTTGGCTAGAGAGGTCGAACTGGAGGACGACGTAGTTGACCTGAGGGTATAGACTCTTCATTGCGTCAACGCTTTCCTGGAGCTTGATACGAGAGCGACCGGTGACTATGAGATGCGACGGCCCCTGCGATGCCTGTAGCATGTTCTTGGTTAAAATACCGCGGATTCGTTGATCGGAAAACATATTTCTCACGTACTAAAGCTTCAGCTGTTGAGTAACCGATCCCACCTCGGTTCACTCCAGTGACCAGCACGACCTTACCAGAAACTTGGGCAGAGAAGGCTTGGGCGACCTCGGGACCCTCTGTTTCACCGTTGAACTGAGAAAATGTTGTTGCCGTCATCCTTGCGAGTATTGGGTAATGATGATGAGTCCGAGTGCGAATGCACAGCCTGAGATTGTTGCGTGAAATATTCAACTCCTACATCCTTTCCAACCTGGGAGCCCTTTAATTTATAACTGAAAAAATGGCGTGAAACTCGGTGATCGTCATGGATCCCGCTTATTGTCATGATCCATTCTGAGACTTTCGGAGAATAGATACCATCAACATGGATTTAAGCGGAGTTAAGCGATTCAGGCCCAGGATTTCGGGGGAGCGACACCCAATTCCGTTGATCAAATCCAAGGCACAACTTCAAGTTAGGGTCATATTACCCAGAGTTTTAGGCTTTCGGTGACATCTACCCCGGTGAGCCCGGGTTGTCGGTAGGGCTGATCCCGTGGGACCGAGCTGTGAACTGGCTATCGAAACAGTCAGATCACGGGCTTTTGGTGTAAGGAGTTACCATGAGTTGATTGATGTAGTTGCCTCCGCCTAGTTGACTGTTTTTCCTTAAAAAAGATAATTAGGCAAAGATGAGGCATGTATTGGGCTGTTCCCTTAACCTCGATCATGGCTATATAGGAGAGTTCACAAGGGCCATGTGTTGAAGAACATCGATTTGTTCATGCATTGGCTGTGGCTGAGATTCGTTTTTGGGCGTGAGTAAGATTGGCTTCCACCTTGGTGAGACATGCAGCTTTCCTGTGGTACTCTGTAGGTTCTCGTTAGGGGCGAGACAAAAGCAGGCTGTGACAGCCTGCAGCGCCAAGACCCTTATCACCAATGGCTATCCATTGTTGGGAGAGCAGCTGAAAATATTGCACTTTGGAATTGAATTATTGTGCGCCACCGGATCATGTACATTGTGATAGGGGTCACTGGCAGGATTGTTTTAAAGGGGTACTTGGGTTAAAGGATCCCCTCTCTTCTCAAACTCGAGAGCCTTATTCTTGTTGACTCAACTCTTGCAAGAAAACGCTTTGCAACATGGACAAACTTAACCTAACTCTTGCCTATATCTTGTTTTATCTCTCTAGTCATATCGTGCCCGTGCAATGTGACTCGATAATTGGCTATACGGTCACAGATGGAACAAGTATCTCTTCCCTCTAAACACCCAGATGACATATAGTAACCAAAAGCTTCTCAGCCGAAACACTTAGTTGCCCGAGCTCAGTATCCTTCCGCACGACGTTCAAGTTCTCTGGAGACCCAGACACATACGCACATTGTGACTGGTTCACTTCCGACGAATATTATCGAGTCGGCACGTCCTGTATCGGCAGTACGGCTTACTTCACCCAATGGATTCAAGATGGTGTCAGCACCTCTTCTACACTGGTTTGGTAATACACCAGTGATATCTTGGGATTATCACAGGCTTAGATTAAACTGACCTCCTTGAATAGCAACGGCGATTGCGTGGCAATCAGGTTGTATGATAAGCCCGACGATTTAGAGGATCTTCGATGGCTGGTCAGCTGCGACGACTCCATCGGTGTTTCAACCAGTATCAGCACGTTATTCTTAGACGATCCAATAGATTGTGTGTATTGCAGTACACTGGGATAATTGAACAGAGGACTGACCTTGGTGGAATTGTAGGGGACACCGCGACCGAAACCGCGACCGAAACCTCGACCGAAACCACGACAACTACAAGCGAGTCATCGACCTCTGAGTCTGTGGGCGAATCTTCAACGGACATCGAGATCAGCTCATTCACCACATTTCCGTCAAGTACATCGGAACCAGAGGAGCCAGAGAGTCCTACCAATGGAGAGACCAAAGGCAGTGATGGGCCTAGTGGAGGTGTCATTGCTGGTGCTGTCGTCGGTTCAATCGCAGGCGTAGCCCTCATTGTCGGTGTCGTCATCTTAGCTTTCAGGATGGGAAGAAGAAGCCGAGACGATGGCGAAAGGCCAGGTGGCGGCATCAGAGATTCATTGAGGTCTGTACCAATGCCAACTAGGGCCTTCCAAGAACCCGAGCCCAAGCCACCTGTTCCGGTCATCCAGCCAGTATTTGTACAAGATAGCCAACCATACCACAATAATAGTGAGAAATAGTGGCGATAGTAGGGATTATTATACAAGAGAAGGAATCAGGATGGGAAGCAAGAAGGATCTGACGAAGTGTAGAAGGCTACGTTGCCTTGGATAATATCAGGCTAGAGATTGCAGCACATTATCACTTAGCCTTGGCCCTTCTTCTAATCGCCAGATCCTGTAGACGCTTTGTTAACTTCAGCCTGGTTCGCGATTTAATACTGTTTGGTTTAGTGCTTCACATATGGGGAGTTGTTTCTGCTAGTCGGGTGACGACCTCTACTTTAACAAGATTGTGGAGCCTTTGAACTTCTCACAGGGATGTCGAGTAGGCTTTGACGCTAGCCAGAGCCTCGTTGTGCAAGTCTGCCGGCAGCTCACTATGCTTACCTGTTGAGGCAGGGTCGGGCCAAGCCACTACCCGCCGACGAGGTTCTCATCTTCTAGCATTGCAGACACAACCCTCATTCCTTGCATGGTTGCCTACTATTAGCTGCATTCTGCATGTCGCGTGTGTACGGTTCCCGCAAACTGTCTCTCCACTGAAAGTCTGATTGTCGGCCAGCCCCATCACTTTCTCCGTGTCCACGCGGGGATACCAAGAAATGTAGCTTCTATTCTGCCGGCGCACTTAGTGTAAGACAAAACGCCCTTGCAGGAGACTAACATACAGCGAATATCAGAAGATGCTTGAGGTTGAAATGACAAGTTTTAAAGTTTCGAACCACAGTGCTGGCCTTTGATTTCCTCTTGTCTCCCCGCGACTATACGGAGGTATTCATCCTAGCCGATATGCCTCGGCGGTAATTGTTTCTTGTGGTTAATATTTAAACATCGTTTATTCCGCGCAGTCTACTAATTCTCCCCACAACTGCCTTTCTTTGAACATCCCCATTACACGTCTGAAATATCGCGTTGTCCAAAATTCGACCGCCAGTACTTCATCAGAGCCCCCCCAAGACCACGGTGTCTTGTCAGTACATCATGGGTAGTTTATGGGGAGAAGCCCATACCCATTCTGATACAACTCATCATCAGCTATGGCTGCTCGATGGCAGATTCAAACGCGATTCGTTCGTGTACTACGGCTCATGGGAAGAAGATAACTCTATCGTGTACAGAATCACCACGAACACGGCTACAATGAACAAGTTCTTTGCCACATTCACGCCTGTCAAAGCAAATTATGTCCTTCTCAAGGTCCAACTTCCCACGCCAGCGGCAGCATACAATCAGCTAAAGGCAAACGCGCCGCAGGCTATGCTCCCGCCAGACGATTTTAAATCAGCCCTGGGGGATAAAAACTTCATCACCGCCCAGCCTTGGGGAGGGTTCAGGGGGTCCGAGATTAGGGAGTTTGTTAGGGCCAATGAGTCAAAGATCCTCATTGAGAAGAGAGAGTACAACACCATGAGGGTCTACACCATTGTTTGGGCACCGAGTGGCGATAAGTGTCGATTGGAAGGTATGGACAGGTTCATCTGGAAGGTCATTGGTGGGGAGCTCAATGTTGACAACTGGACAAACTTTATGCGCCTTGCAGTCTCTGTCACTGTTGGAGGTCCAAACTGAGGTATCGCCAAATGGCAGGTGAGCTGACAGGGCCCAGCGGAGTGGACAGAAGGGATGTGGAACATCGATAGTAGAGATATGAAATTGAATTAAACTAAAGTGTGTGGGTATAAAACTACTAAGCAACAATTTTCTGACTGAATCCCAGCGCCAAAGAGTAATACTCGGTAAGCAAACCACAAAGAAAGAAAGAAAAAGACCTCAGATAGCGGTATCGTAAGTCGGAAGCGCATCATATAAGTCCTGTCCTGCCTGAACTTGTTCCTATTCTCTTATTAGTTGAAAGGTCTCTGTATGGTGACTTAACGAAACTCACATAGGTCGGCACATGGTTGATGCCCGTCTCGTGATGTCCTTCTACAGCAATCTGCAATGGCAGTCGCAGGGTGAAGCTGGAACCATGCGCCCTCGAAGCCAAAACAATTTCTAAAATGTAGGTCCGACTGATGAGGCAGGAGTAAAAGGTCGGAAGCAAGATCTTGTTATCGGGGCTCGGCAGCTCGATAGAAACAGGTAAAGTTGCAGTATGTCGAGGCGCTTCCGCCTTGATGATATCACTACTCTTCGAACCCCGTCTGGAAGCCGTGCGGGGAGGTTCATCGCCCATGGTAGAGTTCTCCGAGCCTCTGCGGGAGCTCGGCGCTGAGATTGAAGCTGATGTCTGTTCCCAGTGAGGCGCGGGCGACTTGGTGACCGTTGCGCTCTCATCGAGAACAAAGCTTAAGATGGGGTTCGGCATCACGCTGGGGAAGTTGTGTTGGTCTGGCAGAAAGCTCAGATGGCCTGTAGAGTAGTATGTCGATGCTTTGATGCTAGCGGACTTTGCATACATCTCGGGTGGAGTTGCTTTCTTGGAAGTTGGCCAGAACTCGAGATCGATATTAAGTGAGCATTCTGATGGCTGTAGCTTGTCGGCTGAGATGATGACGGGATCCGGTTGACGAGTGGTTGCTCTGACGTAGCCTAGCTTAGAAGAGAGAATGTCTTTTCGGATCGACTTCTCTTGAGTCATAGTGAAGCGTGGATTTCCCGGCAGGATATGCAGAGGCGGCTGCTCTGGAAGATAGGGCATGACTTTGACAGGATGAGTTCTTTCCAGAACCATAGATTTGCCCTTATCGGTCTTCAGAAGTGCTCGCGCATCAACACCGTAGTTGATAGCAACGGTATGAACAGCCATGTCATCGTGCTCCCAAGATCCCACGGTCGGCGGTAACTGTAGATGTCGTTCCCGAATAATCGGATTTCGATGCTTACAAGCTGCACTGGGTAATTGGTATGGAATGACAAAAGAAAAAGGAACCTCGTAGGCTTGACCAGCCTGAAGCACTCCATCGGGTGGCAGGGCACTTTCTGGGATTGGCATTCGAAGCTGAAGGAATTTGTGTCCTGATTTAGGCATAGTTCCCTGGTGAAACATCTGAACCAGTGTTGTTTCAGAGCCCGTGAAGACTATCTCGAACGCATCGACCGTTAGATCTGCGCTTGGCGAGAATGATACAGAGCCGGTGATGGTCGAGCCTGAGGTGTAGATCTTGGCCTCAAAGTGACGATCGATAGTGATTTCGAGAGGACATTCTGACTTTCTCCGCGTGGGAACCCAACTTCCTCTACGCTTTGGCTCAGCTTGTATGGTGTTGATGGGTGGAGTGTTGAACAAAACCTGGGCAGCCGACATTTTGATCGTGTTACTCGAGGGATTGTTAGCGCTGATAGTGAGAAAACTGGATAATCTCAGTCATGGGCTGAGATAACGATGTAGGTTTGAGATGAAGATGAAAGAAGATAAAAAGTGTCGTCCGCCGATACTTGAGCTGACCTTTCAGTTCCGCCACAAGACGAGTTGGGAGTGCCAACACATGACCCTTTATCTCAGCCAAGGCTCTGGTCTGAGGTGATTGGCCACCCTGGCCGACGCGACGCCCTGGTAGTGCATTTGGGCACCTGTAATTGGCTAACAAAAGCCGACCCCAGACTTGGAGCCAAGACCTCCGATTCCCGCACGACTTCACGCCCTGGGACTGACATTTGCCAATTTCTCATCAGACTCATCGAGACAAATGATCAGCAGCTTACCAATCGCAATCCATCACATCTCAATGCTAACCTGCCAAGTTGTCGCATATTCAGGACATTCACAAGCACTTCTGTGGAGAATTCGCTATCTCCTTGGGCTGTCACACTCGTACGAAAGCCAAGAACTAGCAATAAGCCACCTATCACTGAGTGAGGGGTACCGCCATGATCACAGGGAAGAAATCAGCCTATGGTTATCTCGAGCCAAGATACGCTGGTATTTTTCGCACAGCACCGACTCAAAGATAAGGCTTCGGAGATAGCTGTGCCGCGCTAATCCAAGAAACGCTTTGCTGATGATGTTGTCACCGGCTATACGGCGTGCGATGCGCCCTCTCGGGACGTTGCCAGCCGTTGGGGAGGTTATTGATTGGGTTTAGTGGGATGATCTACCCCAGACTTTTGCAGTTTTCGCTGCAAGTGGTGGATGGTGACAGACGGTTAGGGCGGGACAGTATCTTTTTGTGGTGGCCCGTGATCGGCGGGGAAAAGTGAGAACAAGTGAGAGTACAATATCGCACGGATTGGTCAAGGTTTTTGTACAAGCGTGCCGAGAATTTGGGCTTGAGTCGGAGATGCTCTCATTTGTCACAGCTTTAAGTTTATACTTGGCAGCCACAGCCGCCGACGTTGTACTTGGTTTAATTATTAAAAAGATTGAGTAAAAGGCGTTGAGGCTCTGAGGAGGCCGTTGAGCAGATTTGAGTGAAAGCAGACTGAAGCACGCACACAACATCACAGTACATCATCGTCAATTAAAAAATCTTCACCATGGGGTCTCCGTCAAAAATGAGAGCAGCTCCACACGCTACCCCAAATACAGTGGAACAAAATATTTGCTCTCATCTCGTGAAGTGGGCTCGTAATTGCCGATGAGCTTGTTCTCACTCAGCCGCATCTCGACGTAGGCATTCAATTGGATCGAGAATTTTCCATGGCTCCATTTCCCCAACCTTGATCAGGAACTTTTTCATGTCTCTCAATTATATGGAGATGGATGAGAAAATGAGAGCATAACTTCCGAAACGTCGTTCAAGATCCACCGACTCCATCGTCAACTTCCGACCGATATTGACAGATGGATCTGATGTGACGTGCTTGGCCAATGCGGGGTCTTATCGCCACGAGGCAAGCTCCGATAATCCACCACTTTACAATGAGATCATTGTCTCGGTAATTAGTCTTGGTGTTTTCCGAAGTTTTTGCAAATAGTTACATATTCGACATGACAAACATTACAAGTCCTATCGATATCGGGAGATGCTCGTTGAGGCATCGCGTCGTGATGGCGCCGATGACGCGCTTGAGGGCTGATGAAAATCACGCACCGTTAGATATGATGAGGGACTATTATGCGCAGAGAGCTTCGATTC